AGATGAGCTCAGATAATCTGTAGATCACTTTGAAAACAAAGACATGTTGCCTACATAGAATAAGTAAAGAAAATTCAAATGCTGTCTGCATTCAGTTTAGAAAAAGGTAGAAACTCAGAATTCAGGTAGAAAAATATGTCAGTGCACAGCTAGTTACTGACAATGTAGTGGAAAATAAGGAAAAGGGTTTGCAATGACCAGTTGTTTTTTACTGTATTTGTTTATGACTCAGTCTCTCACAGATATGTACAGATCGACAAATTTATCATGTGACATTCTCCCCCCTCCTCACATCTGTTTAATGTGGAGGAAAATTACTATTGCACTGTAAAGATGTGCTCTTTTTTTTCTCCCTAAATCATCTATAACTAAGAAGAGTTAGGAAACAACTAATTCTTCCACAAAAAGATGCAATACAAAAACTAATCACCAGTCCTCCATCTGTGGGTAGGGACACGTGGTTCTTGGATCGCATTTGTAAACTGCTTAGTGACCAGGCAGGTGGCACCTGTAGGTGGAGAAGAGCCTCGCTGATGGACTGCGAGAGATGAGAGTCAGGAAAGGAGATCTTGTGGCTCATGTGAGGCACTTAGCGTACAGACATGTGCACTCGCTTAATTTGCTCTACCGTGGGCATGCTGTGGGACCTACTGCCCTGAGACTGGTATGAAGGCCTCTGTGCAGTGTGTGGAGAGTTTGAGACCTCAGCAGACAGCCCTCCTGGATGGTCTTTGGTGAAGGAAACTAAGGCATTGTTGCCCGCCCCACTGCAGATTACACCTGTTAGAGCAGGGGCAGCAACATGTGACGCTTGTCCCTGTCTAAGCCATCCCGGTGTTCCATTCATCATAGTTGTGCAAACCTGGGTACACCTGCAGCTGGAGACCAGACATTGTCCTATTGACTGGGCAGGTAAGAGACACCCTGTTCTGCTGCCTACAGAAGCAGGCAGCTGCCCAGGCTCTTTTGTCAGGTTCCTTGGTTACCTCAAGGAAGGGGACCTGCAAAAGCTGAGCTGCTAAGATGCAGGCAGCTTCATTTAGCCAACACAAATTAACCAGCAGTGGCATGCTTCGTGAAACTGACTCCCCACAGGGAGCCTCAACACCAACCAGCACTGTTCCAGACCTTGTTCTGACACCCGACTTTTGTCACAGACCATGCCTGGGAGGGCAGAGGTGGCATTACTGTCGCCCCTCTCCCTGCTTGTACCCAGCAAGAGAGCAAAGAGTGGCAGCAAGCATGACTGGAATCCGTGTCTTCCTCCCGTGGGACTGCAGAATAACCACCACGCTCACAGGCACACCAGGGCGGAGCGCTCCCAGTCCATCTCACAACTGCTGCACAGGTCTTTCTACGCACTGCTGGTGTGAGACAATGGATGCAGTCAGGACCTGCAGTGTGCTCGCATGGTGCTGCTCCTCCAACACGTGTCGACGTGGTGCTCCAGCTGAAAGACACCACATGGAGCTGGGCTGGGCAGCCAGGAGACAACGGCAGTTGAGTGGCTGGCTAGCAACGGCTGCTCTCTCCTGCACACTATAATTTGGTAGCTCTTCATGCCAGCTCAGCAGCATCTCCAGAACCCAAGCCCCAAGCAGGAGAGTGTACGCAGTGCGGGGGACTGGGGGAGAAACAGATGTGGGGACGGGGACAGGTTTTACTGCCAGAGGTAGAAGAAATGCAAAGGGCTGGCCTGGGAAGGAGCGGCCACCAGCCAGACGCTGGCTGCTCAAAGGCATTTGGTGCATACTCTCACCGCTCTCCCTCCCTCCCCGACTTGAGTATTTTGACCTCCATCTGAGCCTCTCACCACCTCTGTGCAAGCAACAACAACCGTGCTTCCTCTAGACTTCCGCAGTGTGCGCACATGTCAAGCACGAAAAGAGAAACTACCACATTCAAACAGCCTACAATGAAAGGAAGCCAGAGTAAAGAAAAGCTCTGAAGGAAGGATGTTCTCTTCTGTATTTAGAGGCACAATACACATCGGCAGTATTGCAACTCTCATTTCAGTGTCCGCCTGCAGGACAGCAAGCGTGGAAATCTTTTGACAAAGGCTGAACTGCCTGGAGCACACTCATTGCCCCATTTCAGTTAATATTAAGGAATTAAATACTCTCATTGCCAACTTCTTCCTTACAGTTTCAAAATGTATAAGTGAGCCTGGTAACGTTGTTACTATTTACCACAAAAATGGTAAATAGCTGTAAATTGGATTTTTCTATTAATAAGGCAAATTTTCTAAAAATCCAACAGCAACCGTCTCTTCCCAAAAAGCCCAATAGCTTGAGGCCTCCCCCCCACTGCAAAGTCAAAGTATCCTCTTCCTTACAATATCTCGTCTTTGTTACAATTAAACAATGAGTTCAAAGCCAGTAGG